GAAGGAAGGAAGGAAGGAAGGAAGGAAGGAAGGAAGGAAGGAAGGAAAGATTAAAACTAAAATGAGATCCTACTACACACCTCGAAGAATGGCTAAATTTGAAAGGACTGATTACAGCAAATGTTGGTAAAGATATACAAAGCAACTAGAAATCTCATATATGGCTACTAGGAATATAAAATGGGACCACCACTTTGGAAAACAGCTTAGCAGTTTCTTAAGTCTGACATACACCTATCATATGATCAAGCCATTCTATTCCTAGGTAATTAATTACCAAAGAGAAGTAAAAGCATGTATCTACACAAATACTTGTACATGAATGTTCATCACAGTTTTATTTGTAATAGTCAAAAACTGGTATCAACCCAGCTGTTACCAACAGATGAGTGGATAAACAATTTGTGGTATATCCACACAACGGAATACTACTAGTAATAAAAAGAAATAAACTATTGATACACGCAACAACATGGATGAATCTCAAAATAATTATTCTGAGTTAAAAAGGGCAAAAATGAATACATACTATAGGATTACACTTGCATAAGATTAAACAAAAAATGTAAAGAATCTGCAGTGACAGAAGACAAATGGGTTGTTGCTTGGAGACAGGGTCCACTGAGCAGATGGGATGATAAAGAGGCACAAGGAAACTTTGGAAGGACATATTCATCATCTGGATTGTGTGATAGTTTCACAGGCATATACATGTGTCAAAACTTACCAAAATTGCACACTTTCAGTATGTGAAATTTGTTGACTGTCAATGATAGCTCAATAAAGTTTTTAAAAATCTATTTGAAAAGTTGAGAATACGTACATGGAAACTAAAACGGAAAAAAAAAAAAAAAAAACAGGCGGGGGGAGCCCAATAACAATGTGCCCATCATTCCCTTCTACCTCATTGAATGGGCTTCTTAGTACATCACTTGGTTACCCACAAGCACTTTGGACATCTTAAGACATTGTACACTCTGTGCCAAACATTGGAAGCAGGTCGGGTAAATCTGGACAAACCCAACAAGTGCCTAGAAGAAACACACATGACTGCAGTCACATGACACACTCCTTCAAAGAAGGCCAACTGGCATTTTAGCTTCTAGGTTTCCACAAGGCATATTATTACGATTCTTTTAAGGCCTCTCCTCAAATCCTTGCCTGGCCGTGTCCATCAAACCTAAAGTATTTTATCACAATCCCCAACCACCACTGAAAAACCCTCCTTAGACCAGTCTTCCAACCCCAGTAAAAATCCAGACTTTGCCCTTTTGCCCTCTGATACGCTGCTAAGGCTACTCAAAGTAATACTCTTCCTCACTGTGCAAGCAATAAATGGATTGTTTTACTGACAATTCAGGAAGCCAGGATTCAAGATTATTGATCATTCATATTTTTTCTTCTGAATTATAGTAATTTTTGCCCATTTCTTCATTTTGAACGTATATTTTGGTTTTGATTTGCAGTTTGAAAACTTTAAATCTTTTCTTTGCACTACTTGATGTAAATATTTTCTCGCTTTCCTCTTATTTATTTTTGTTTAAAGTCATTATAAAAACAAAAACAAAAAACAACTTTTGGTGCTGTACAGCCTGGGTTCAAATCTCTCCTGCTACTAGCTGAGGACCCTTATGTATCAGGTAACTCTCTGTGAACCCAGATTCCTCATCTGCCTCCCATGGAAATTAAGCTCCATGAAAGAAGGCATTTTCCACTGTTTTGTTAACTGTTGTATCTTCCACTCTAGGAACAGTGCCTGATACATATAATAAATGCTGGAAAAATATTTGCTAAACGAATGAATCTATAAAGCCAGAACAATCTTATTTACCTCATGCGGTTGTTGTTAAGAATCTACTAATCCTCATGAATTTTAGTCTAGAACAGTGCCTGGCACACACTAGGAGCGCAAGAAATGTCAGCTTCTCCCGTCACCCAAACCCTGCCTCTCAGAGAAGTTTTACCTGAAAGTCTTCCCTCCCACCCCCATCTCCCCTCAGTTAAGTCTTTCCTTTTCCTGCTCCCACTCCTCCCACAGGATTCGCACCATTGTTCTCCTTCAGTGTGGCTCACGTGTGACCAGAAGTTCTTCACCTTTGGGCAGCTGTGAGCCCCTCTGAGAATCCAAGGAAAGTTATGAACACTCTCCCCAGAAAAACGCACCTATGCACACACAACACAGACTTTTCCGTACAATTTCAGGGAGCTCACAGAATCCTGCCACTAAACTGCCATTTTAGATTCCTTAATTAAGTGGATATTAACGTCAAAGACTCCTTATTGCTTCCGAGCAGCAAACCTCAACAGGTCACAGGAAATTCCCAGCGCTGATCTTTAGTGCAAGGGTCAGAGTCCAAACCCGGCGTCCCGACCGGAGCTCCTCTGAGATGCAAATTGCCCTCCGCCCTTCGGGCCCAGGGCGCCTATTGTTCTTCCCCGCCGCATTTCAGAGCCGACCCCTCACCCTGGCGGGGGGAAGGGCGCTGCGGGGGAGAAAGGGAGTTTCTAAATGGAAGCAGAGGGCTCTGGTAGGTTCTAAGATCACTTGCAAACTGTGGCAACCCTGCTCGTGACTTAGTTCTCTCAGGCTCCCAGTCGGTAAGCAACAAGCCTTAACTGCCATTACGACCCCTGTTCCTTGTCTTCTGTAACTGGAACGAGGGATAAAACGGGAGGCTGTCCCACTGCCCTTTCAGGAAGAAAGACTGTCCTGTCCTGTAACGAGGTGAAGCGCTCAGGCCCAGGGGCTAGCCACGTGACTTCGTATAAATCTTGTAACCGTCCGAAGCCTGTTTTGCCTTAGGAAGTATGCGAGTAGCAGCACAGACCTCATACTTTCCCTGCGCGAGGGAGAGGTGACCAAATCGCCTACACAATGTGTTGCACCTGGAAGCGCCCGTGACTGTTAGCGGTTAGGTGTTAATACTAAGGAGCAACTCAGGCCAAGGACGCCGTGGGGCTGGCGTCGCTGCGTGGGGTGGAAAGCTGAGCGCGGGGGAGCTCTGAGCTTGCGGCCCCCACCCCACGCCCCGAAGCCCGGCTGTGTGCGGACGCCTTCACCCTCCAGTCTAGGTGGTCCATGGCTTCTTTGTGTTCTAGGGCTCTCCATGACAAACGCAGACACCCTGGAGGGGCTCCACCGCCTTCCCTCCCTCCAGCGCGGGTTAGGACTCCCCCACGCACGAATGGCTCCGTCCCCGGGCCAAAAATCAGTAGACCCAGACAACCTGAAGGGTTGGTTCGGCCTTTTCTTTCATTCTTCTGATTAGAAACAGTCCCAGAGGCGACGCGATTTGCCCGAAGTCTGCAACTTCCTGGAACTGGAAACCAATCGGAAGACTTCCGCGTCGCGGCGCTTTCCGCCGTGATCAGGTTACCCAGCGCCTCGGGACCTGCTTTTGAAAAGGAGGTCGACCTGGGAGAGCCGCTGAACGAGATACTCTTCGGAATCGGTAACTGCTTATGGCAGGCGGTGAGAGAGTGGGGGTGATACAGTGTGGAACCTGCGTCCCCCCAAAACATAATGTCAACACTTTCAAATTGCTTTCCGAGATCCCGAATTTTAGGGGGTGCATCTTCGGGGGGGGGGGCCTGGGAGCTTACCTGTTTTGTTTACCCGCCCAAGTGCCTAATGCAGAGTAGTTACCTAATAAATATTTGCCGAGCGGATGACTGCACAGCCGAATGAGCCCCGTTCCATCATAGGGATGTAGGAGGATTTGCGGAGCCAAGCCCCACCTGGGAGGCACCTAAGTCCTTGCCAGTTTTCTCAATTATGGCTCTGCAACGAATATCCTCTGTGCATAAATCCTTGACTGCATCTCTTGATTATTTCCTCAGGATATTTTCCTCGAAGTGGGATTACTGGGTTGAAGGGTATGCACATATGTAAGGCTCTTGATTCAGAGTCCCTCCAGCCGCGCCAGAATGAGTGAGTCAGCTTCCCAGCAAGCTGGCCAAAACTCGGTATCATCGGCCTTCATTTTTATTTCTGTCTCTTTTTTTCTTTGCCATCTTGATAAGATAATGATATCCCATTTTATTTGCATTTCTTTGTGGACTAATTAGGTGGAGATTGGACTAACTTTAAAGAAATATCCTTAAGGAGCACCGAGAAATCCTGTGTGGAAAAGGAGACCGTGACACCAGGCACATTCTGCCCAGTGAGGTGAAACCAAAGGGCTCCAATGGTCTGGTGTGATTTGACCAGAAGATGTAAACACATTTGAGCCTTGCTCCAGAGGCTTCCCCTGAGCAAGGGAGGGGAAGCTGTGACTTACTAGCTTCCCTATGTTTGTTATTTTTTGTTATTTTCATTTCCTGATGAGGAGTAAATGTTTCATAAAGCAAATGAAAACCCTGTGTAATTATCTTTAAGGACAGCAAGAAAAAGTAGAAGTGGGAAAACTAGTTCACTTTAACGTCATGGGAAAGGGGGAGGGGGGAGGGGTGAAGTTTGAAGCCTGTTTCCAGGCGGTGGGAGGGAAGTCCCTGAAGATGGGGCTGGCAGTGGGGCGGGGAGGGAGTGAGCAAGAGGCTTCCCAGGGCTCTGGAGACGTCCTTCTGGAAAGGCTGCTATGTATTTGTAGCGCTTTTGAGGCCTGTGGTCCCTGGGGACCTGGAAGGGGCGTTTAATGGACTTTTGAGGATCAAAGTCAGATTGCCAGGGACAAAGGAAGGTTGTGAGGAAATGGAGGCCACTGCATCTCCGGCCGTGCTCCGGAAATGGGGAGAAGGTACCTGTGGCATTTTCCCCGGACAACGGGAGATGGTGGTCCCTAGAGCTTTTGTGGGCTGTGAAACGGTGGGCGCTTCTCCCCCAGTCAGAGCCGCTCCCCAGCTCTTACGATATCCGCTAGGTTCTTTTATAAAGCACACCCGAGAGGATAACTGATTTGCCAATGTTTACAGGCAGTTTTATTTACTAATCTAGCTCTCATTTACTGTCAACTAAATTTATAGTCCTAATTACAGTCCTCAGCATTTTCCTGATAATAAACATACAGGATGTGTTTTATGTTTGTTTGTTTTTTTTAACTGTGGGGGAGTTTATTTTCTTGATTACTTTAAATTTCCTATTAAAGTCTTAAATTTAACCATCAGCTTCTCACAACAATCTATGAACTTTTCTGCCACTTTGATTCTTCTAAAAGGGCTCAAGCCAAATGCGAACCAGGGGTTCTTAGAGGTTTCAGTGAATGATTTCAAAGCCTTGTCACACTTCAAAATCACTTGGCGGCTTTCAAAAAATTAGTTTTCCCTCCCTCTTGGGAGACTAATTTTTGTAGGGCTGGGACATACTCAGAAACTAGTATTTTTGAAAAACCTCCTCAGTGATTCTTAAGTTGCTGCTATAAAAGCCAGTTTTGGGAAACTGTTGTCTAAATGCTAAATCTGTTTTGTCTGTCTTGTTTGTTTGTTTTTATTTAAAGAAACTCATGCTTGTGGAGCAAGCAGGGAAGGGGTTGGGGGTGGGGGTAGAGAATCTCAAGCAGTCTCCACGCTGTCAGAGCAGGGCTCTCACCCATGAATTATGGAATCGTGACCTGAGCCAAAACCAAGAGTCGGACGTTTAACCAACTAAACCACCCAGGCACCCCTATTTTGTTTGTCTTTTAGTGAAATTTGGAAATGGCAGCTTTAACTTCCAAAATGTTAAATAATGCTTTGCATTTCCGGAAAATACTCTTTTTTTCACCTCCATCGCCACCCACCCAGGGCTTGAACTTCCTGAACCCTTCAGTCCTTCCTTACCTAACACTTGATGCCGGATGATGCCATTGTTTTCACCAATCCGTGTCCCCTCTGGTTTTCCTGGATTCCTGCTTTCTCCCTGTGGCAGCATGTTTTGGGCTTTCTTTTGTGAATGACAGTTGGCCTTTCTTCCTGTGCTTTCTTAAGCCCTGCTGCTCTTCAAGGTGTCCTGGATACTTGAGGTAACGGACCAGGCGCCATAGAATCCACTCGCACAACTGGCATAAGGTGCTGTGACTCTCAGATCTTCACCTCTCACTGTTTCTTTGGGAAGTCTCCAGGTCCCCACATTTCAACTACCTACCAAGCATTTACTCTTAGATATCCCACAAAGCACCTCAGACTCAGTGTTTCTCAAATATTACATCCCTAGCTATGTTTGTTTCTGTGAGGTTTTTTGTTTGTTTTGGGGTTTGTTTTTTTTTTTTTTTTTTTTTTTTTTAGTAATTTCACCCAAAATGGTGCTCGAACTCACCACCCTAAGATCAAGAATCACACACTCTTCCTACTGTGCCAGACAGGTGCCCCTGTTCTTTGTGTTTTTTATCTCAATGAAGGGCTCTACCACATTAGTCAAGCTAGAAACATGGGGGTAACCCCATTCATTCATTTAAAACCACTATTCTAGGCACTGGGGATAACAGAAACTACAAAAAGTCGTGCCCTCCAAAAACTTGTATTCCAGAAGGGGAAAACAGAGTAAGGAATCAGTCCCCAAATCTAACAGATTCCAACTTATTATTTTTTTAAAGGTGAGCCAGCTTTTTTTTTCTTTTTTTAATATTTATTTTTGAGAAAGAGCAAGTGGGGCAGGGGCAGAGAGAGAGGGGGACAGAGGATCAGAAGCAGGTTCTATGCTGACAACAGAAAGCCCGATGTGGGGCTCGAACTCAGAAGCCACAAGATCATGAATGGAGCTGAAGTCAGACACTCAACCAACTAAGCCAGGCAGGCACCCCCAGATTCCAACTTCTAATATCTCTAGACTCTGTCTCTCCAGTCACCACCTTAGTTCAAACCCTTGATGGCCTCCCTCTTTTTCTTACTCCCTCCAGCCCATTCTCCCCACAGCAGTGGGGAGCTGAATCTTAAATTGTAGCCTCTAGCTTTAAGCTTTCCATCCCTCCAGGAGAGAGTCTTTCTTTGCAAATCTGGGTTAAAGGGTTTTATAGCCTCTAGGCCCTGCTGGCCTTTCCATCACTCATCTCCACCCAAGTGAGCCACACTCTCCTCAGGCCACACTGAATTATAGCTGCAGGCTTCCCATACCTGCCATTCCATGCCTTCCCTCCTGCTTAGCTGACTCCTTGTCTGCTTTGCAGGTCTTAGCTCAGGTACTATGACAGGCAGCTTCTGAGGTGGCCTCCACTGATCCCTGGCTCCTCATATCCAGCCCTTGGGATTCTGAAGAAAGGAATGTGGCAGAAGCTGCCTTGTTGTGAACTGCTCTGTGATGAAGGCCATGTGACAAGGAGCAGAGGGAAGCCTCCGGCCAAAAACCTGTGAGGAACTGAATCCTTCCAGCAATGATGTGAGTGAGCTTGGCACAGGGATCCCCCCCCCAAGCTGGGCCTTCAGATTGGATGGCCGCCCCAGCAGTCAGCATTAACCGCAACCTCATGGAAGACCTTCAGCCACTAGAGGCAGGCAGCCAGTTAAGTCATGCCTGGATTCCTGACCCAAAAAAAAAAAAAAAAAAAAACCTGTAAGATAATAAATGTTTGTTGTCTTAAGCAGCTATGTTTTTGTTAATTTATTACACAGAAATAGATAACAAATAAACTTCTGGACCCCTGCCTCTCCTCCACACCCAATTCAGTGCCCTTCTGAGTTATAGGGTCTGGTATCTCCACCTGTCATCCCCAGTACTTAGCCCTTAGTATTATAATTAGGGATCTATGCATGTCTGCACCCCTAGAGTATGGGCTCTACCAGGAAAAGGAAGAGAGGGAAGAAAGTCACTATTTTCCCTCTCAAGACTCTGAATCCCTGCTCTGCTTTGGCCACGTTTTTGTACAGCCACAGTGTCCACAGTGATAGCCCCAAAGTGCACCTATAACCCCAGGAAGACCCTCTGGCCCGCTGGAGCCAAGCCTCCCTGCCCTCTCCTCCCAGAGACACTTGTGTGCATGCGCACACACTCACATTTCGGGCCCACTGCCCTCTACTCGAGAGTGGGTGGAGTCACTCCTTGCGCCTTACACACACACCCTCAGGCTACACTTTTGTGGGTTTTCTGAATGAAAGGTGGGAGGGAGAGCCACCTTCTGCTTTGAATTGCCCAGTTCCTCCACCTTTATTTGCAGCCAACTGAACTGTTCTAGGAGGACATGGGTGTGAGTCCCCTGGGGGAAAAAAAAGAAAAAGAATGCAAGTACTTCTGGCTGCTTTCATTTTCTGGTGTCTCAACCCACAGGCCACTCGCTATCTGACTCAACCCTGAGATCTGAATGAGGTGCTACCTCTGGGTTCCCAGAGTGCTCTGTGGCACCTCCCTTGGGGCAGATAACAGCGCTGTCCTCTGGGCTCCTGTGCACTCTCCTGCCCTTTGTTAGACAAAGGACAGTGCCCTTGGCCTCCTATGGCCCTTCTGTTACCCTGTGTCAGCTCTACATACAAGGGCGGCAACTGCCCCAGACCCCCCAGGCACACTTCCTACCACCCTCAATCCTCCATCCCCTCAACCAATCTACCAACGTGTCTGTTGTGTCCAAGCTGGATGGATAAAATTTTTTAAAGACACGCCTGGGTATGAACACACCTCTTTCTAGTTAAGAAGTTTCCAATAGCATTGCATCTCTGGCATGTGCTTCTGTCCTGTTTGCCTTCCTCCGGCACTCAGGGGCAGATTTCCTCTTGGCCTTCCTTCTGTGACTGCTTTCTGCTCAGCTGCTCATGTCGCTAACAAGGTTATACCCATCAACTGTGCTCTAGACGTGTCATAGTATGATAACAGGAAGGACCCGGACTTGGGGGTGACAGATCTGCCACTTACTGTATTTGATCCTGGCTGGGTACCCAAACTAGGCCTCATCCTCCGATTGGGTCTACGAATAAGCTGTTTCCCTCTATTGTTCTGAGATTAAAT